GAGAAGCCCTTCTATACAGTAGTTTAAAAACCCTCAACCAAATATAGTTCTTCTTGAGCATATTTGCTCCAAAAAAATAGCTGAAAAACATTTATTAAGAGTGAACTTGTTGAACTGACCTGAAGGTAAAATAAACCCATGTTACCTATTTTTTTTCCAGAGACATTTCATCCAAAGCACGTAGAGCACAGTGCATGCTGGGACAGCTCCCCAGGGCATCATGGGCTAAAGTGCCTCACTTATGGACATGATGGAGCTTTTAGGAATTGACCGATTTTCAATTTTTCCTCAACAGGGACTGTATTTGACATGCTTCCATTACCAGCCAAGAAGCTACACTGCTACAACTGCTCAAAAACATAAACCATGTAAGCACAAATTTACACTGACTAAACCTCCCAGGACTTGATGAGTGTACTAAAGGTTGGCTTTAAATTAATTAAAAAAAAAAATGTAACAAAAAAAACACACACACAATCACATATGTTCTATATAATATTGCTGCAATCAAATGAAGCTGGGAAACCTCCGAATTGGGCATTTATTATTATGAATATTGTGATAGTTAGCTAACATTAACTATCAATGAGCGATTGTATTAGTTAGCTAATAAATATACTGTTCATTTTTAGTTTGTGTTCGCTCAGGTCCATGATTTTAACAATGTATTAGTAAATGTTGAAAGTAGCATTAACTAAGCTTTAGAACTAGTATACATTGTTAATTCATGAGAACTAATGTTAAATAATTAATCTTTATTGTAAAGTGTAATTAATTTAATTTAACTGGAACTTATTTGGTATTTTTCCCATCTAATCACATTGAATGCAGCAAAGAAGCACTAACTGATGCTTCTAGATTGGCTCACATGCAAATTAGTTAGCCTTAGGATGGATATTAGCAAGACTTGTTTACAAAATTAAGATCAAGAAGGAGCAGATTGAAAATAGTACTTTCAGCTGTTGTCTGTCTCTCATGAGACTCTCTCTGTGTGAATCTTGTAGTTTGCAATCTCATGCAACTAACAAAGGAGATTTACACTACCAGATGCTTCCTTAGAAGTGAAATCTGAATGCAACTTTGACTGTTTAATTCCTTTTAGCATTTAATTAAGTATATAAATAATTTTGTCAATGAAATCAAATCCGTCCTTAGGCTCACCATCACCAAGTTGCACCATCTGTTTTAATTTAAAAAATTCTGTCGTCATCAGCTCACCTTCCTGTAGCTCAAAATCTTTATGACATTTTCCACATCAAACACAAAATGAGGTAATTATCTAAATGTCGAGAAAAAAAAGAAAGAACCAGGATTGCACTGCTGGTACCCACCCAAAGGTACAGTAGCTACAATACAGGATCATGATTATAGAAAACAAAACATACCTTGTTTGCATAAATTTTGGCAACTATAACATTTCAGGGTATTTTCAATATAAGCTTTAGGCTACTATATATGCTCCTGTTTATTGATATTGATTGAAAGAGAGAGAATTCAGCTCTAATGTTAATTTATAATCTAATCAAAGCGATAATGAGTCCAGCCAACTCTCTCATCTTTCTGAAAATCAGCCTTAAGAAATTTCATCTGAAGTATGGAAGCTCTCTCCCACGTCTGCAAGCGTAACGCAGTCGAGCTGTTTATAGCAGAATGATTAATGACATCTAAAAATGAAGAACAGAAAAAATCACATCTCTCCTTTTCAGACCCTCTAAGAGTGAAATTACATGACACTATTGGAAATCACATCACGTATAAAGTTAATTCATTTCTAGTCTTTCAAAACAATGATTGTGGACATGACCAAAAAAAACAAAAAAAACTATTTTAGCATATTTAGGTTATATAGTTATATAGTAATTTCAGAGGCTAAACTCAATTTGTTAGTTGTAAAACAGATAGGCTTGAAAAAATGTGAATTGTAAAGCTATTTGAGTGCCTTTGGTTGAACCAGCAGAACATATCTAATTCTAACACCAATACACCAATATATTTAAATTCACCATGCGAATATTAATATTAGCACAATTAAAACAAGTTATTTAATTTGTCATTTGCATTTTTTAAAATTCTTATTATTATTTGTAATAGTACTGGTAACTATTCGTCATACTTATTATTCTGTACTAAGACTCCATGTTGGCCCCAATAGTTTCTAGTGGCCCCAGTCACATTTCTGCAGCAGAATATTATTAAGACACAGGAGTGGGCTCTTTAGACTTGAGGTAGTGTACTGAGACCCCACGTGGATTCCTAATGGTCCTTGAATCACCAGGCATTTCTGCATTTTATCATCAAGACAGGGGTGGGCTCTCTTACCCTGATACAGTATACTGAGGCCCCATGTATCTCGGGGTGTCCAAAACCTATTCCTAGCGGGTCACTGTGCTGGAAAGATTTGCTCCAACCCAAATCAAACACACCTGAACCAGCTAATCACAGTCTTCAGACTTGCTAGAAACTTCCAGCAATAGTGTTGGAGCTAAAATCTGCAGTAGCAGTTTTGGAGTGTGTGAGTTACATCAGCCCTGCTAACATATGCTAATATGCTGATATACAGATGGTACAGGATGATGTGGAAAGGTCAGATCCAGTATCACGTCCGCATTAATTCAGAAGACATGAGCTGTGACTGGATGAAGTTCAGACATCTTGTAAGCATGAACTTGTTTTGACAGTGTCGCCTAAACATGAATATAAATAATATAGGAACATGCCAAAATGGATTCTACAAACCCAATTCCAAAAAAGTTGGGACACTGTACAAATTGTGAGTAAAAAAGGAATGGAATAATTTACAAATCTCATAAACTTATATTTTATTCACAATAGAATATAGATAACATATCAAATGTTGAAAGTGAGACATTTTGAAATGTCATGCCATTGATGTATGGTTAGGATATGACAATATTTGGCCGAGATACAACTATCTGAAATCTGAGGGTTCAAAAAAATCTAAATATTGAGAAAATCACCTTTAAAGTTGTCCAAATGAAGTTCTTAGCAATGCATATTACTGATCAAAAATTAAGTTTTAATATATTTAAAGTAGGACATTTACAAAATATCTTCATGGAACATGATCTTTACTTAATATCCTAATGATTTTTGGCATAAAAGAAAAATCAATAATTTTGACCATACAATGTATTTTTGGCTATTGCTACAAATATACCCCAGTGACTTAAGACTGGTTTTGTGCTCCAGGGTCACATATGGATTCTCTTACAAAAATGTTTCTACAAAAATAAAAATTTTCTCTACAGCTATTGTTACAATTGTAGATTCTTATTAAATCCATTTGGGATTCACAATCAGTTTCCAACTTCCACAGTCTACATGTGGAGTGGCAATATGGTCCAATGTCAACATAGTTTTTATTAATTTATCTAGTTTTCTGTCATATATTTGTGTAAAGTAAATTGTAAAAATGACGGTGCTTGCATATTCTGCCCACTACACCTACTGTATGATATCGATACTAGCAAATCGTTACTACTGTATTTTACACAGGTAAATTTATGCTTGCAAGCATTCATTTAGGACTGAGCGAAACAAAGCACTAAATTGTAATTATCATAATTACACAATTTAATAGTAAATTAAATGTAAGTCTATGATTTGGCTGTGGACGCAATCTTTTGGCAAGATGAAGGAATTCATTTTGGGTTGCCCCATAGTTCACACAAAAATTAAAATTACCCCATGATTTACTTACCCTCTAATAAGTGTATAGGACTTTCTTCTTTAAGATGAATGCTACTTTAGTTATATTAGTTATATAAAAAAATGTCCTGTCTCTTCCAAGCTTTATAATGGCAGTGAATGGTGGTTGAGATTTTGAAATCCAAAAAAGTGCATCCATCCATCATAAAAAGTGCTCCACACGACTCCGGGTGGTTAATAAAAGCGAAGCATTTGTTTAAGAAAAATATCCACATTTAAAACTTTATAAACCGTAAACTCTAGCTTCCTCTAACTGTTGTACGATCATTCACGAGAGAGTGGCGCTCCAGCAGATGGCATCGACGTAGCATAAGCTCCGGTGAGAAGTGACGAATGCAGAAACGCAGTGGAGAGAGCAAACTGACCAGTCACTAATTAATTAGAAGTACAAAATGAGGATTTGTAAAGACAGATACAAGTCATATAGACCTAGGATGGCTTGAGGGTGATTAATTCATGGGGTACCTTTCGTTTTTAGGTGAAATATCCCTTTAAATGCTTGACCTGAGCAAAACAGCAGAAGTGTGGAAAGTGCATAGAATGTACAACTCATTATTGCAGTGCATTATGGGATCGAGCACTACAAATGGGGCAAGTCCCAATACCCACACTTTTGAGCATAAAAGTACATAAAAGGAAGTACTGTAAGTGCACAAATAGGTATTTTCATAACCATAGGCCTATGGTTTTCTCCTCGAATAGTGCACTACATAAGGATGTACAGCCTATGACTTGATTTACAAAATTTGATTTGCATGTATGACAAGATACAAACATAAAAACATGCACACAAAATGTGTGAACTGATCCACAAGCTTCTAATGTGGGTTGCATCTCTCAGATGTGCAACACAACACGTCTTGTCAGGTGTCAATGTATATGTAAAAAGATTATGAATTTGAAAGACAACCTTTAGTTTTAACTTTAAGGGCGTTCAAACCTTAATTAACACCCCGTCCCCCATAATTCATACCATGCTCACAAATTATTAAAAAGCTCAATGCTAGCTTTTAAATCTGAACTGCAGAAACTGACTGCTGATTTTCTCAAAATCTGTTGTGAAGGGAACAAATGGTGTATTAAAGGACAAACACACAATTAAATGATACAAAAATTTATATTTAGGGTGCAAACCCACTTTGCATTCATAGATTTTATTTTTTTAAACGACTTTAAAAAAAAGAATTTCTAAAAAAAAAGAATTGAAATTAAAATACATATTGCAGGCATAGGTGACTTGTTGAGCTGTTTTCATCCATTCATACGCCTCTTTTGCCTCTTGTTCATAAATGTGCAGCGCTACGGCCCTCGCAGACAACAACACCGACGACAACAACAAATTCAAACACACAAGGAGCCGGTCCTATTCTGAGCAAATGCTTGCCACAAAATCTTCGGCCGCAGATAAAATCATTCAGTGTTGCATATTTTGTTATCATTTATTCTGTAGATGGAATATATTGTATTTGTATCTGGTCTCTAATGAGTCCAGGTGAACTGAACACTGCAGGTCTGTGGGAGGGATTCGCCCCTCACAACCTCTCAATGTCTCTGTATTTCTTGCGTAGGATAGAGACCTGGTCTTTGAAGAGGACGGGATCCAGACGCAACTGAGAGTGAAGGAGAGGCATGAAGCCAAACCAGCTCGTGAAAGAGTTCATGCAGGACTGACGCTGTGCAAAGTGGTCTGGGTCGGCCCATCGAGACGCCTTAGAGCCCTGAGAGAGAGAGGGAGAGAGAGGTCTGTGTATGGTTCACCAGGCAGATTATGAACGAAAGCAGGAGCATGTTTCTGGAATTGGGCTGGAATTGGGCAGCACTTTAGAAGACACTGACAAACAGAGCGAACACGGAGTGTTCATTTCACGACTCAGAGAACAGACGACAGTTATGGCCTTACATTTATGAGAAACGCTGTGGAAGGATGTCTAGCTGCTTGTTAAAGAAGCTTACAATGTGCTAATACAGACCAATCCCTTGGACATGCAGAGGAACACAGAAAGACATTTTGTAACATTCATGGATTCTGTTTCGTTACAGAATTTTAGAGAAATTGAGAAATCACACAGCAAAATGTGACCAATCTGAGATTCTAATCAGCTAATTGACCCTTCGCAAAGACCTGCCCCCTTTTATTACTGTTGGTACGTCCGACAAGTCATGTCGCTCTCACACCACACATCATGTTCTCATGCAGTGAAAAATATTTTCGCACCAACAGACAAGACAGAGCAGCTTACTTTTGGTATGAAAAAAGGGTCAGCTTTCTGTTTTAAATAACGTTTTGAGGTTCTTTAATGAGGCGTGACAGATTGCTGTTCATTAACCAATCATCTCATCCTCTTTACTAGTTATAGTGCAAAATAAACATGAATGAACATCAGAGGGTATCTTGTTTCAACCATGGAAAGATGTCAATAAATGCCATTTTTCAACATTTCGACATTAATCCACTCTCCTTTGTGGTTTGTTTGTCAGACAAAATGTCAGATTCAGCGTTATGATTGGTCAGATCGCCTGTCAATCAAACTCCCGGCGAAGGGTCAATTAGAGTCTTAGGTAATTTAGCTTCTACCCAGCAAACAAAAATATGTTCTAAGAACATTTTGCTAACGTTCCCAATTAAGGTATGAAAATGTTATTTCTGAATAATCTCAGAACATACAAAACATTCAGGTTTTTTTAAATGTTTCAAAAATGTTTAATTTCCTTGGTTAGGTGAACGTTAGAGAAAAACATTAAGGGAATGTTCAATTTTATAATTTTGCAGACATTATGGGAATGTTACTGTTGAATGTTCTCTCAAAAAAAGTGATAAGCAATAATGTTTAAAAAAAGACAAAATCCATAGGCAAAAAACAGTGTTTTGATAAGATGAGAAATTTCACAGAAAGTACTAAATAAGGAAATATAGAGTAAAACTGTATACATGACCAGTACTGTTCAACTATACTGAACATTTTTAATACTTTGAAACGGTATCTTCTTAAACTTCTGTAACTACTTAAACATAATTAAACTACTGTGAAGATGTATATTTAAAAAACTAGTGAGCTAGCCTATGCTACAAGCTAATAACAAAAAGTAGCTAACTACATTGTACCTACAGTATTTAAGGGGGTAACAGCTTATTTTTTTAAATCAGAGCAGTACTGTCAGTAGTAGTCCAGCCTCGTCAGGCCCAATCCCCTCCCACACCCGTTCACAATCACCGGAGTACTAATCAGCCGCACCTGTCACCACCTCATCAACACGAGCTTAAATGCACAGTCACTGCAGTCACACTTCGTCTGGTCTTGAGTTCACTATGCTACTCCTTACCTGACTCACTAACCCGGACGCCATCCTGAAACCTACCTGTCTCTGTGCCATCCTCTCCAGCCCGATCCTAGAAGGAACCCATCATCACGTGAGCTAGATCCCTACCATTCCATAGACCGTTGCCCTAACCCGTTTTGCTCTCCCTTTCTCTCTCTCTCTCAGCACCTGTAAATAAAGATCCCTGTTTACCTTACCTCTCCGTCCTTGGTCTCCTTCTGTACTGTGACAAGAAACGGATTCAGTAATGAATGGCTGACAACCTTAAATTTAATAATGTGACAAATTATGTAGTTATGTTTTGTAGTTCTCCTTGTTGGAAAAGGTAGCTTGTTACTGAAAAAGCTACATTGGTTAAACTGCTGTCAAACTACTGAAAATGTAAAGTTACTAGGGTTATTACTTAAGCAATATTGTACAATACTGTATAAAGCCATTTATTATTATTTTTTGCCATTTGCAAACTCCTGATATTTTAGCAGAGGTGGGGGGGAAATCAATATATTAAATCATTACTTTTTCTCAACACTGTGTTAATAATCTCATGTCAAGAGTCTATATTTTTAGTTACATTTTTATATGAATACTTTGGAAGAAAAAAACAATGTAGCATTAGGTCATTTGTTTCTTTGTTTTCAAAATGGAAGAATAATATAATTGCTTGAAGTAAATTAATAAGAAACAACTGAGTAAAAGATCAGAATATGTTTTGAATAACTTTAAACCTAAAGAACTATGATGATATTATAGTTATCAGATCATTATCATATCATGACCCAGCTATAATATAATATGTTCCTTATGATTCCCACTCTTATTACTCACTAATCAGCATCCATTAGACTCATACAGATGAGATACTATTGGAAATAAAGTAAGAATGTACCAAAAGAGAATTGAGAGAGAAGGAGAGGAACAGTGGGAAGAAACAGTTGAGACAGACAGAGAGAAGGATAGTACTGCAACCTTGCTGTCAATCATTAATCTCACCTTACCATGAAGACATTCATCAAACAGACCAATACTGCTGAATCAGATCCACACACACTCACAGCCCTGGGGCCCTCCATCCATCACACACCACACAGACATTTCTGACCCCAACAGGGAATCACTCTGGATACACACTCGTCTATTTACAACCCATACACACACAGACTCATACCTGCTGCATCATGGTCTCCTTGTACTGTTTTTTCTGTGTGACTTTGATTGGCGGGAGTTTGGTTACTGCGGAGATGAGGAAATTCATGAGGATGTCCTCACAGTTGGCCAACTGGTCCACCATTGACAGCAGAGACGTCGGCAGGTAGTATGTGTACAGGTGATGATAATACCTGACCAAGAAAAAAAAAGAGGAATACATAAAGATATTAATTAGATAACAGAGGAGACATGAAAGCAAAAACAAGGCAATTTGCCTGTGGGGAAGTTAAACCTGACCAAATTTTCATTCTGAATGCTGCTCAGAAACCCTGCCATTAAAGGGACAGTTCACCCCAAAAAATAAAACATTAATTTCTCACCCTCATGCTGTTCTAATCCATAAGACCTCTGTTCATCTTTGAAACACATATGTGACCCCGGACCACAAAACCAGTCTTAAGTCGCTGGGGTATATTTGTAGCAATAGCCAAAAATACATTGTATGGGTCAAAATTATCGATTTTTCTTTTATGCCAATAATCATTTGGATGTTAAGTAAAGATCATGTTCCATGAAGATATTTTGTAAATTCCCAACCATAAATATATCAAAACTTAATTTTTGGTTAGTAATATGCATTGCTAAGGAATTCATTTGGACAACTTTAAAGGCAATTTTCTCACTATTTAGATTTTCTTTATGGACCCTCAGATTCCAGATTTTCAAATAGTTGTATCTCGGCCAAATATGGTCCCATCCTAACAAACCATACATCAATGGAAAGCTTATTTATTCAGCTTTCAGATGATGTATACATCTCAATTTTGAAAAATTGACCATTATGGCTGGTTTTGTGGTCGAGGGTCACAAATGATGATTTCTGTACCTCCATTGAAAGTCCATTCCACCAAAACTTTTAAGCATTAAAGTCTTGAAAAGATAGTAAAAGTAATCCATATGAATCAATCCATATGAAACAACAAATTGTTTTATTCTAAGTTTTCTGAAGAGACTTGTTGTATGTGCATTCATTAATGTTGATATGTGAATAAAAGCATAAATTAAAACTGTTCATCATATAAAGCGATCAAGTCGCCTCAGAAGACTTGCTCAATTCATATGGATTACTTTTCTAGGTTTCATTAAAAATATGTGCATTTGTTTCGAAGATGAACATAAGTCTTATGGGTTTGGATCAACATGAGGTTGAGTAATTGACAGATCTATTGGTAGTCCGAGCTTTATGTTTTTTCTTTAGATTTATGCATTATGCATTGGCTATAGAATATGTGTAGAATATTGGATAATATTCTACACATTTCATTATTTTTTTCTCCCACAATATTAATGGCTTTTTATACATGAAAATATATAGTGAGTTTTAATTGGGCAAGCACCCTTACATTTTCTTGAGAATTTTTTTTTTTATAATCTTGTTTTATAGCGTCTTTCACTTGGTTAGTCAACCAAAAAAATGAATCACCATTGTCATGTTGCTCCAAACCTGTAAGCATTTTTTTTTTTTGCAGATCACAAAATAACTTATTTTTAAGAACATTTATAACCAAGCAGTTTTGCTTCTCACATGTAAGTCGATAGGAACCAAACAGTTTGGTTGCCAGCGTTCTTTTATATTCCATAGAAGAAAGAAATACATACAGGTTTGGAACAACATGATGGTGAGTAAATGATTACAGAATTAAATTTTTGGGTGAACTATCCCTTTAACAATCTATTCTGTTAGGAGAAACAACTTAAACGAGTGCTCCAAGAGCAACCTACGAGTAATAAAATGTTCCTCTGGGTGGGACTGAGAGTATAGTCATGGTATCCAGCACAGACAGAGAGGCCACCCTTCTGTGAGAACCTTAAAAACACAGATGTTTTAATTTCTGTGAGTGACACCTACTCTCTCTCTCTCTCACGCTGTCCTTATTAAACCGAATCTCCTTTCATGCCTGCAGACGTCTATTCTGTCATTCTCTTTCCTTCCCTCTCTCTTTGAGGGACAGCCGTCAGAGCGTTCCTCTCAGCACTGCAGGTGGCTTATCTCTCTTCACACGTTTATTTATGTCCTTTTCTCCCGCACACTTTAAGCTGGGGTCACTTTGCAGGTGGTGTGTTAGCTCGCTGACCAGTAGCAAAGCAGTTAATCTGTGTGTCGGGTGTGTGATGTGTCAGTCTGAAGGTCTGTGTGTGTGTGTTTTGAGTGATGAGTTCACAGACCTTCAGCTAAAACAAACTGTGAACTCCATCTAACCTGTGCCATTTATCGTTAAAATGTGGCCAGTGAAGCTGTCAGACTGAACATTTATTAGCTGCTTTAATATCAGCCTGTCTCTGAGCGATCTCTATCGCAGCAGGTCTCACATTCGGCTTTTACAAGCACCTGACACTGACCTCGTACCAGCCTCTTGTCCAAATTCTGTGAGAGCCGGAAAAAACCTGTGACTGAAGATTCAACAAGCTGTGAATCCCTGCTGTGCTGTTGTTAGGGTGTTGTGGATGGTGTTCAGGGTGTTTCTGTGTGGTTGCTATGGTGCTCTGAGTGTTTTTTAAGAGTGTTGCTAGGGTGCTGGATGGTGTCCATTGTGTTTTTGTGTTCTTTTGTTTTGGATGTCTTTCTATTTTTCTTTCAAACATTCTTTAAAAAAAATTCAGGCAATATCATTTCTAGGATGCTGGTTAAAGAGGTAGCATAACTAACTTGCAAGACTTTATAATGGTTATCATAAAATAATTTCATAAAAATTGTATGACTTCTAAATATTTAATTATGGTATTTAATTAAAGTATCTAGTTTAAAACCTGTCACAATAGTCGACTTGTTTACATAAATAAATTGTGATAAATTGATTAATTACAGAATTATAATGTAGGTATAACATACTCTAGACTTTTGCTGTATGTACATACAGAGCTTGGTAGATTACTTAGAAATAGTAGCCCAATTTTTATCTAGTTGTTTATCACATTGATTTAAATAGGATAATCTCATACCACATTGATATAAAAATACAAAGAGTCTATATTCCATTCGTTGTAATTCATAACATGCATTAACAATACATTACTTCAAGGTTTCCCAAACTGTGGTTTGTAAATGAACTGCAGGGGCTTCATAAGTTTAATGAAAAGCTAATAATGAATTAAATCATAAAAGTTGAAAATGAAAATAAGTCATTTTAGAATAACATCAATTAAAATAAAACACTCACTGAAATAAAATATTTTATTTGTTTATCTGCATGTCATGTGACCATTAAACAACATGAACCGTGAACATGCAGATGTGATATTTAATTACTAAAATATTGATTTTAAAATCTCAGCGTACTTCAAATAAATATATTAGGTGAAAGATGTTCAAAGGTTTGGGAATGCCTGCATTATATGCAAATAAGAAATAAAATATTTTAATATTGTGCATTCTTTGTCTATCTGAATAGAAAAACTATTTGAATGTATATAAGCAGTATTAGAAAGGACAATTTAAAAGATAAAAAAGAGGAATTATGGAAAATCAATAAATAATTAATAATTTATTGCAATTGTTTGAATAATATGCAATCAGGTAATCGATAAAAATGTAACTGTATTTGATTCTGAGTATTTTAAAATGAAATATAATTTCATTACAAATACTTAATTTTTGGAATCTTATTACGTAATCCAGATTACATGTAATAAATTACTACCCAACTCTGCGTACATATTCTCTTCAGATAAAATAAATTATCCCATATACTGTAGTCTAGTGGTTCTCAGCCAGGGGGCAGGGGCCCACTAGGGGGCTCAGAAAGCATCCAAGGGGCCCGCAGGATGACTCCAAATGAATAAAACAGTGGTTCTCAATATTTTTTACTTATTATTCAGCACAATATTTAAAGGCCCAATACTATACGGTAATATATTTCCGGTGCCATTTCTGCAAAGCTATTGTTTACCAACTTTTTTATGAGCAGAAACTGGGAGTATTGTCACAAATAATGGTTTATTACACAAAAAGTTCATGTAAATATGGAGGAAAATCTAACCTTTACCCCGGCGACCCTAAAGGCTGGAATGAATGCAATAGTAACCAGAGTGTAGCAAAGCCAATTGTATATTTTCATGATGAAAGATGAATTCACATTGAGATCACTAGAGAGAGACAACAGAGAAATATTTATGTGCTAGGTTTCAGAGAAATATTTTACTAAGTCTAGCTTTATATGGAACTTGATGATTCTTGATATATCATTTGTATTTCAGAGTTATATTTAACAAGCTACAGAAACAAATCAGTTGTTTCTTTCCTCAGGGAAATCAGGGTACTGTATAAAAGTCTTTTGAGATATCTTTTGAGGGACTTTGGTTCATGTCTCTGCATATGAAAAATGTTATAAAAACATTTTTCACAAGTGAACATGTAGCATGTTCAGGGGCATGTGTTAATGGCATGTCTGACTGTTTAGATATTTTTCTTCTACATAACGAGCCTGGTCTCATGAAAATGCGTATAAATAGTACGCCAAATAAAAACGAAAACTTGCATATGATACGCATGTGTTTGGCGTGCACATATTACGCAGTTGCCATGCATATGATGCGTATCATCATATTTTGTTTTCAATATCTGCTACGGGATGATATATATCAACATATATCAGTTTTCGTGTACATACGATACGCATCTACCCCACAACCCTAAACCTACCCATTGCATAGCAATTTGATACGCCAAAGTCCATTTTTGCGTATCAATACCACGAGTTTTCGTTTTTATTTGGCGTACGATTTATATGCACTTTCATTAGATCGGGTTGACATAACTCACTGAGGATTGCTATAACAATTGCAAAGGAAGAGGAATATAGTAAGAGAATACAAGCTTTTTGTGAGTACAGACTTAAATTAACAGAATATTTCACACAAATACTATATGAGGTTGTTTCTTTATTGGAACAGATTCGTAGAAATGTAGCATTACATCTGGCTCACTAATGGATCCTCTGCAGTGAATGGGTGCCATCAGAATGAGAGTCCAAACATCATAATAATCCATGAGTAATTGACACGACTCCTGTCCACCAATAAATGAAGTGGAAAGCTATGTGATTGTAAGAAACAAATCCATCTTTAAAGCCATTTTAACCATCACTTCTGGCCAAAATATCCACGATAGTCCATGATCCACTTCCTCCAGTCAAAAAATGTTGATGTGAGATGACAACTCCATCCCCTGTTGTATTATTCACTAAAAATTCTTTATCGTACCTCTCAAAAGTCATGTGCCCTTCTTGCATACACAAGGCAAGCATTAATAGCATTTGAAGTCAGACCTGGCTCTAGGAATCTTCAACAATTGTTGAATATTCAGTTAGTGTTATTTTTTGGTGATTGTGTATGTAATGCCCTATGAAGAAGCTAAGCAAGTAAGCAGATTAAAATAAGCAAAGGATTTTGCTTATTTTTGTAAAGGATTAGTAAACTCAGCTAATCAGGTTGTATTAGCTATGGCAAACTGACTACGGATATTTTCAGATGACACACACTTTAATCCACAACTGTTCCTGGGTCTCTGAAACAATTGGAGCAAATGAAACAAGAACTAAAGTTCTTTGCAAAAAGTTTCATACATTTATTTCTGCCTTTCTTTCATTCTTTCCTCGCTTGCTGTTTTTAGGGAAACCATGAACCTCAAGGTGAAAAAAAAGTTTTCCATTTATATTAATAAGTTCATTAAAACTACACTTTATTACTATTTTAGTTTAAGAAAAATTATGTCATTATTGTGAGTTTCGTGAAATGACAACAGTAGAGTTTTAACTGCCTTTCCACTGTCTCCAACGAAGGACAGACTGGAAATCATTCATGGAGATTTTTATGGGAACTGCATGGAATTCCGACCATATGAATATGCAGAATTTTCAAATCCAATTTAAGCTTTGGGTGTGCTGAGCATGAGGTGAGAATTATCAGTATTTGTGCACTAAAAGGATATTCTTTAAACACTACTTCTGCACAATTCTGCAAAATGGGTAGGTATGAATAATTAAGTATAAAATAACTATTTTATAATTCATTGCGTAACCATTTACGTTGCTCAGCCCTACAAAACCTTCTATGTTTTTCTCTCAGAAATATTGGCAGTCATTTATTTTGTGTGGATATATTCATACATTCATTATTCATTCATTTTTTTCATGAATAAGAGGAAGGCTTCAGGACTAATTTAAGTTCTGTGTGACTGCCATTAAAAGGTGAAATGCAACAAACCTATGTGAATGTCGGAGATAGTGGAAAGGCGCCTTACTGCGATTGTACTATTTGAATTTACTTTTGTCAATACATCCACAGGCATGCTGTTGTAAGCATGTATGAAATACTGCAGCTGCAGGTACACATGTAACATATATGAAACAACCCCCATATATAACATACATGAAATCATCCCGTAGCAGATCTATACAGGTGGAGCTGGGGGAGGTGAAGGGTTTCTGAAGCACGCTGCAACTGCTACAACAAGCACTAGTCGAGTATTTGAATGTTGAGCATTCCTATGAGCAAGTTCATAGGCTGCTGATGTGTAAAGAAAGCAATCAGCTATGCCATATGAATAATGATGTGATTATAGTTGAGGTCAAAAGTTTACACCCCCCTTTCAGAATCTGAAAAATATTAGAGGGATTATGCATGCTATTGTTTATTTAGTACTGACCTGAATAAGATATTTCACATAAAATATGTTTACATATTGTCCACAATAGAAAATAATAGTTGAATTTATGAAAATTACCCCGTTCAGTATGATTTTTAATACTGTGTTCTTACCTTAATGATCCACATTTTTTTTTCATTTAGTACTGCTCTTCAGAGGCTACAGGAGATAGTTACATGTTTCCCAGAAGACAAAATAAGTCAAATTTACCCTGTCCTTCAAATTCACTCTTCAGCCTGCACCATCTAGAGTTTCATGACAGAACTTTGTATTTAATTAAAAATCAATCTATAACAATTAAGGACTACAGATATTCTGCCACACCGTGGCTAGGCATAGAATTGAATGCTTACTGTTAGCGCATGCTAATTGTTAGCCGGCAATGTTTTGTTGAAGAAAAGAAAAAGAAAGAAAAATAGGTAGAATACCGTAGAATAGAAAAAATGCAGCAAAAGAAAAACAAAATAATACTCTTCAGGTAAGTTTTGTGTTGTCTGGAGATTACCTGTGGTAGAACGCAGCTCCTGTGAGCACCATGGAGTATTCATTGGTCCATTTAGAGGTATAACCCCACCTCCCCTTCCCGCTGTCCCAGTAATGGCTGCGTGCTGGGTAGCCTACGATCCGATCTGGAAAACTTTGCCAAACGATGAAGGCGAAATCCACCTGTAAAACCCAGAGAAGACAGAGGTGTACAATTTTGATTACATAACTATTTCAGAAGGTGAGTAAAATAAAAAACTGATTATTATTTTTGGTTAAACTATTCCTTTGAGAATAAAGACATTATGTTCATTTTCATTATCTCTTCAGACTAGGGAAGACTCTGCTTGAGAAACTCATCAGAGAAGATTAAAGAAGTAGAATTAACAAAAGCAACATAAGCTCTTTTGATAGTCTGTTAAAATTGCGTGCTGGGTAGCCTACGATCCGATCTGGAAAACTTTGCCAAACGATGAAGGCGAAATCCACCTGTAAAACCCAGAGAAGACAGAGGTGTACAATTTTGATTACATAACTATTTCAGAAGGTGAGTAAAATAAAAGACAGATTATTATTTTTGGTTAATATTGGCAGTCATTTATTTTGTGTAAACTATTCCTTTGAGAATAAAGACATTATGTTCATTTTCATTATCTCTTCAGACTACAGATAAAACCAAAGGGAAGACTCTGCTTGAGAAACTCATCAGAGAAGATTAAAGAAGTAGAATTAACAAAAGCAACATAAACTCTTTTGATAGTCTGTTAAAAGAACTGACATGGGCTCACTTTCAGTGAGATAAATTATCAAAGGAGCCAATGAGAGCTCAAAGAGAACAAGCATTTTCTAGCTCGGCTCTTTATTTAGCCTTGGATTTTCTAATGCCTTCAGACATGCTTCAGCGTCAACTGACTTGTCTGCATGCAGGGGATGAGAGCAGTCCTTGCTCTGTCAAAGTCAGCGTGCGCACATATTAAAAAATGAACCCGCAAATCAGAGGAAAAGGTTGCAAACGTCCCCCTTAATGTTACAATAGATTAATCGCTGCGTTAGCAGCGGATTCGGATTTATGACATCATGCAAATAACGTGGCCTTAAGGAATTACAGCTTTAAGGTGCATCACTCCAGCAATGCATTGTGGGTGACACACTGAAATTCGCTCCATTCATTATGTGTACCGGACCTTGATTATGGATCTGAGTGAGTGGGAAAGATGAATGGCAGGAGGAGTCATGAATGCTTGGTCTGAGATGAACAGAACTCACAAATGGCTAAGAAATGAGTTTAACTAATTATCTAGCTCTTATTTCATTTAGCAGTGTGCTAAAAGGAGAATCTGAAGTGTTCAGTGTGCAAAATTAGTGCAGTCCATGAAATTTTGGTGGAATGTTGCAGGCAAAAAATGGTCAATACTGGAGTGATAAATGAAGCACTCATACATAAGTCACTTTCAAACCAAGAAGCTTTCTATGAAGCGCTGCACATGACGTGGGAAAAAACAAGATATTGTGGCCAAGATCTTATTATTTCATCCCCTTGTTTTAGGCAAATAAGGTGCCCATGTTGTATTACTTTATTCCCTTGTTTCAGGGCCATGAATTCATTGGAAGTACTGCAAGTCATGTGTGAGGCTCTGTAGATTTCTGTTGGTTGGCGCTGCAAATTTGCATGACCAATTTGAAGATGACGCAAAATCTGTCTCTGAAATTCTCAGTACGTTGTGGTAATATGTTTATATGAATTTACAATAAAGAGACATACAAAAAAACCAAAAAACATAGCATCTACACTGCAGGATGGCAACACAATATGATGCAACAAAACTAGAATGTTTTCTTATATAATCAAAGACAAACTTTGATTTAAAGTACATACTTTTGAGATTATAGTGAAATATCCCAACGCTGGGACATTTTGGATTTTTGGGACTATGAAACTATGGCTTTCGAAGATACAAGCTACTCATAATTTAATGTAGTTAGCAACATATATATTTTTCTGGCTTCAGTCCATCGTTTGTTGATTGGACGGAGGCAGATCCGTCAAATGTAATAATGGGGCAGAATTTAAAGCCCAAATTTCACATATATTTATTTTTGCACAGTCGAACTCACAACCTTTCATAGTATGATAGCCTGGGCGAACACAGGTGCCTTGACAAATGTGCACTAGAAAGATTCATCCTTGTCCAGTGTCTGCGCTTTTTCTCTCCAGAAAATATGACAAATTAATTAGTGCAAAAAAAAAGTGTGCAGCTGCTTGTACTGTGCAGATTACGGAATTTTTGTCATGCACACTGCATGCATACCCTATTGTATGAGTAAAAGCCAAAGTATACATTAATCTTATGCAGACTAACTGAGTAGAGGACATTATCTGTGCGATTGGTGACATGGCATTCATGGTTCAGATGACTGGCTAAAAAAATAAAAAACTTCTAAAAGACGGCAGAATTCCATTGTGGGGATCATGCACCAGCCAAGCAACTGCCATTAAGATGAATGGGAATGCTAACCTCCTTGGCTAGCACACATTTATAGTGTCAGATGTGCAATAAAGATAAATGGGAAAACAAATACACGATAGATGAAGATACAAATTAACCTGCACAAACATGAACAAACACTAGATTAATGCTGTAATTTATATTACTCTGTCATTGTACTATAACAATTATTACCCTTTCTGGTCAATTCTTCAGGCCATTAACTGCAGTACAGACATCATAACCCATGAGCTCTGCTGTGCCGTTGTTATGCCACACATGTGCCTACAGTCTAATGATGCTTGCCGCACAAAAAAACTCGACCCCTATATTACATTTCCCATTTTAATAAGCCAGTTAATGAGTCGAAACAATGCAATTATCAATTCTGTGGAGCCATAGTGCCGCACAGTCTTAACAAAATGGAAACTAAATATGCCATATTCTCACATTCTCAGCACTTTTCAATTAAAACCCTCTCAAATGCTTAAAGGGCAATTACTGGGGCAGATTACTGTGCGAAACGAGAGGAAGCTTCCCTCCAAATGTTGCTGGATTTGTTTAAAGCCACAAGAGCTTTCTCACCGAAACTGAGACTCATTAAACTTTTGTAATACGGGTTCTGTAATCTTGTAGCGCTATAAAAGTTAAGTGGATATTCTGGCCAGGCAGAGGTAAAGATGTACTGGGTGCAGTTAATAAAACATCAGCATGATGAATTATGGATAGCAGGTTTCAAACACACACTGAGCTACGCCATACATAATGAACTTGAGAAATTAGAAGCTTTCCAGCCATCTGATTGGACGTATTCTCACTGCTTGTGACATTTCAAATATTATTCTGAAGCAGATTATAATTTACAACGTACATTGCAGTACAGCCAGTGCACTTTAAAACTGCTAGTAAATTTCACAAGCAATTACAAGGAATGTCATGTAACATTGAACTAAACATTAAATTGTGAAGTAGAAAAACTAAAATCATATTTTCTTGGAAAAACATTGACACTGGCAATACACCAACAACACTGAAGCGTATCTTTCTTTCCTCAAACTTTATGGAATTATGGTAGTGTTAGACAAATGTGAGAGGAAAGAGATCAGTCTTTGGGATTTAATTGGTTTTGCTGACTTCTGCTGCTGAATGGTGCGGCTTTTCAAAACTTGCTCCATCAAAGAGGATCAACAAAATCTTTCAAGATCCGACTGCAAAGGAGTTAACAGTAAATTCCATAACCAGATTAATTCCCACATTGTTTTTTCTCCCACCCCTGCAGGGTATTTACAAACAAGCTTCATAGTCCCATAGACTTGGCCAGGAAAGCCAAAAATGTGTTTCTTTTGTTTTTAACACCCTTAACCCTGTAAACTGTTGGAGAATTGCATTGGCAACAACTTCTTCCTGGCCCTTGGATCATCTCTGCCTTAATCAAACTTAGACCTATGACACCCTAAACATCAAAGCCTCTCTCTGTTCGGGGAATAAATAAATCCCAAAATTCTTCACATTGCCTGAAACATCTTTGCCAGATGGTGCAGCCATATTTTGTGAATTGGCACTGCAGCCACACAGATTTGCATATCACAGCTCGAGGGATGATAGTTGTTAACTACACATTTATAATCCTTTTAAATAATAATTATTCCAGATTTGGCCAATTTGCTGGGAAACTGGATTCTCATTCAGGCCTTTGAAACATTAAAGGGGTACTCCACCCCAAAATGAAAATTTTGTCATTAATCACTTACCCCCATGTTGTTCCATTGCATTAATGTCAGCCGCGCCACAAGGATACGTTTTCTACGTGTATTTGCGCATTGATTTGAACGAAAACAGCACATCCGTGCAGCGCAGCTGACACAGAAGAGCGTACGCTGCTTGCGTTCAGTGGTTATTCTCCAAAATGGCTCTACGGTGATGTGGAGAGACACAGAGGAGACGAATGGTTGAATAAAGTTGTTCTTTTTGTTTTCTTCACGTACAAACATATTCTCGTCGCTTCATAACTTTACGGTTGAACCACTGATGGCAGATGGACTATTCTGATGATGTCTTTCATACTTTTCTGGACCTTGACAGTGTTATTTACTTGACAGTCAATGGGACAGTCACAAGCCTCCCGGTTTTCATCCAAAATATCTTAAATTGTGTTCCGAAGACAAACAAAGCTTTTACGGGTTTGGAACGACATGGGGGTAAGTGATTAATGACAAAATTTTCATTTTGGGGTGGAGTATCCCTTTAACTATTCATCTAAAATTATAAGGACGTAGTTCACTAAATATTGCGCCACTTTTGAGGATGGTACTTTATGTCAATGCAAATACCTGCATCTTACTCATTAACCGTTGCAATTTAGTTTAGTGGGTGCGTCCTCAACATTTAAATTAAATCATAGACATCTTTTCTGTGCAAGCACAGCTACTTTTAATGTAAATTAGGTTCATTATAAACTATGCTTCTTTCACAAAAAAGTGCTTGACGCAGTTCACATTGCGCTATTACCAACAAATGATTGGCCTAAGCTAGGTCTGAATACACTGTCTAGCTATCATGGCAATAACTGCTATCATGGTACACTACCAAACTGATTTCACATACGATTCAGAGCGTGGATCGCGGAAGGCGTTCCCCTAGCGTTTGTCGACGCAGCTCGAGTTCCTGAAGAGGAACTGCTATCATGGTACACTACCAATCAAAAGTTTTTGAACAGTAAGATTTTTTATGTTTTTTTTTTTAATTCTCTTCTGTTCTCCAAGCCTACATTAATTTGATCCAAAATACAGCAAAATCAGTAATATTGTGAAACATTTTTACTATTTAAAATAACGGCTTTCTATTTGAATAAATCTTAAAATGTAAATTTTTTTCCTGTGATCAAAACTATATTTTCAGCATCATTACTCAAGTCTTCAGTGTCTCATTCTAATCTGATGATTTGCTGTTCAACAAATTTTTTTTATTATTATTATTATCAATATTTAAAACAATTGAGTAAATGTTTTTCAGGATTCTTTGATGAATAGAAAGATCAAAAGATCATTATCTGAAATATAAAGCTTTTGTTACATTATACACTGTACCATTCAAAAACTTGGAGTCAGTATGTATATATATATGTTAAAGGTCAATGAAAAAAGTAGTAGAAAAAAATAAATAAATAATGGTATAATGCACTGAAGAATAACAGTACAACTTTGTTTGAGGAGCTTTTTGACACAATCTAATTTAAATATCCAAGAAACACCTTATAAATCACCATCAATAAATAACATCAAATATTTTGACTATATTCTTTGCATTTTTATTCTTTAAAAGGGGTGCCTGAAAAAAAAATCATCATAAAATAATCATTACAATTTAATTTTTTCAATTTTTATTTTTTTAATATTATTAAAATTCTACTATTAATAATATTTATGAAATGTTTGTCCCTTTCTGTCATGTCATTGTTCTCATCAAGGTTACGTTTTGAAAATACAAAAAGCATGGAAAAGTACTTCCAAGGTCAATAGAAAAAGTTTGAATTAAAGGTATAATGTATTTAATGCAATCAGCTGTCTTGAGATGCTTTTGATACCATTTTATAAGTCAGAAATTCAAAATATAAATGAAATCACAACTCCTATAAACAGGTGTGTAGGAATAAACAGAAGCAAACAGTCAAGCAAAAATATGTGAATCCCATACACTGCTAAAGCTTGCAAATCGTGTTTCAGGTATGCAACCTTCATTTGGCATTGTTTTCAAACAGGAAGTTAAGCACACGCAACTTTAAAATACAAAGCAGCAAATGAAAGCACCATTACAATGAATAATAGCCTAAGGAGAAAAAAGGGACAGAAAGTCAGAATTCACCATATTTTGAGAAAGACACAAGCTGCCTCTCACCAGGATCAGTATACGGATACCAACATCTTTTTGTGAATTTGGACATCCGATTAGAGATGTCCTCTTTTTTTTTCTCTCTCCATATCTCTCTAGCACATATTATTGTCTGATTAAATTATACAGCTGAGAGCAATTAAAAATGAGCCCAGCAGGCTGCTGATGCTGCAGTGTGCAAATATCATCTCTTGTCTCAGGGAAAATGAAGACAGAGAATTGACATTAACAAAGTGCAGAACAAACACAAAACAAGCCAGAAACGGACAATACATGCAGCATCACAAATACCACTGAATAAAAGAGACAAAATAATGAGGTAAAAAAGGACAGGACAAAGGAAGTAGACTGGGAGAGTGAAAGTTTGTTTGTGAGTGAGAAAGAGAACACTGAAGTATTGCACTATTAGCTAAGCAACATGCTAAAATCAAACTCCTTTGAAATTAGTTGTGTGTTTTCTTTGTGCTATTTCAAAATGATAATTTGTTAGAAATGTAATAATACTTCTCAATATAATGTCAATTTAGTCACTTGACAAAGGATTGAGATTTTGAAAGATAAAACCAAATAGTGTACTACATGATATTCCTTACCATTTCAAATACAGTAACATTTATTATGATGAATGAATGTGTGATCTCTCACCTCATTGGTGGACAAAACCGAGTCCTCGTCCAGGCTGAGAACTGCATCAGTTTTGATAGCTTGATGAGGGAAAAAACGTCCACTCATCGTCTGAGGGGAAATAAGAAGTGACATTAGTGATTCACAGATTTTCAGCACAGAATGTGGTTGAAATTTAATTTACACCATTAGTTTTTTTTCACATTGTTCAGAAATCACAATGCATTTATTAATTAAACTTTACTTTGACACATCCTTGTCTATCATCGCCTGCGACATCTGTTTGGGTCTTATCTGTTCATCAAGTCAAAGTCACAATAGTTGAACATCTGCCAAAGTACAATATGGTAATTTACACCTTGCGGTAGGAAAAAGGACTTTAAATAAAATATTAAGAGGGTGTAGTGAATCTTCAATGCCATTTGAAGTCACTGAACATCCACGTTAATGGTGGATTGCTGAATCCACCATTGTACACCAGTGCCAATTCATGTGTTTGTAGTCTCTCAGGGTGCGAATGAAAATTCGATAAGCCATTTGGCCCAAGAAATTACTATTCTCTAGAAGATTGTATAGTTGCAGCCTAGTATACACTATAGTATATAGCTAAGTTTAACGTGATTTCCAGGGGTCAGGGGTACAGGTAGAAACAAAGTCTTGGAGGGTATACAAAGTTGTTACAATGAACACATCTCAGAAGAAACTAGTTTGTAGATTTGCCAATGAATAGAATATTTTATTTTCAGAGTTTTGTTTGAGGCAAATAAACTATATGTACACTACTGCAGCACAACTGTAAATCCTACTAATGTTTTCAGAGTAACGTCTGTAGCGTCTCGACCAATCTGACACACTAATTTTTATTTGATTTAACAAATCAATTATTCATTAGATTAACAAATCGTCACAGTCCCCTCACTCAATAAACTGGATGCCAGGATTCCTGCTGAACACCATCCCCCATATCACTGTTTTTATTATGCCCCCAGGAATGTGAGTAGGATAACCCACTCTGTGTCCACAGGACAAACGCACAGTAGAAATGGACTTTTCTACTAATTAATTCATAGGAAAACCTTTCTTTGAATGAACACACATATTCTTCAGGCCATTGTGTATATTATTGCTGTGTTGTATTTAATCTGTTGTATTATAGACTATTTTTATTCATGCTTACGATAAACCACTCATTCATATAAGTAACTCTACCATGTCTAGTATCTATGAATTCGCCTTCTTATGATCAAAACAAGCGTGTATATTATATGATGATAACTAGTTATGGTTAATTATTCATATTTCCCCATGAGCTGATTCGCTACACGTCAATACAATAATCAGTACTCATTATAGTTGGACGGATAGTCTGACTACAAAGTCAACACACAGTTCTACTCCTTTTTTTCCAGAGTTCCCAATTGCAACCTGTTCATGTTGACATCTGCCTAATTTATTGTCAGATATTGTAGAGGTCGGTTTAGAATGCATGTTCTTTGACATCAACAACATAAGATCAGATTGACCTGTGCCCCATTTTTGAGATCTAATCGAATGACTGTTTGCCAGACAGTCAGAAGTGCTGAGAACAGGTTATTTCTCACAGCAAAAGGGGTTGTCAACAGATTGTTGGATTTGGTCTTCAAATATCTTACAGATTTTTTCTGAAGGTCCTGTTTATACTGCCAAGCCGTTGAGAGGTTGACTGGCCACAGAACACTGACATGTTTAGCGAACAGTGTGACTTTGTGATATCGGTGATCAAGATCAGTGACCATTCATCACTGCAGAGAGAGGATGACATAACATGGTGTACAGAGCCAAAATGTTAGATCTCCACACCAAGAATACTGGATTCATTCTCTTTATCAGGTCCCTTCAGAGGATATCTGTATTGTGTAGTATCCAAAACCAGTCAGCAGAGTTTTGTCTGATACCCAAAACCAGCTGACAGCAAGTTTTGTAAAATTCTCTCATCAATTACTCACCCTCAAGCCTGGTACACACCGGGACGTTTATCGCACGCGCTTATCGCCAATGTTTTTCGACGCGTCGTTTGTGTTCATACCCACTGCCAGCGACTTTTTCGCTGTATGTCGCTAGACTCTGTGCTGTGAAAACGCTTGCGGGCGTTCCTACTGCTGTCGCTCTAATGTTATTGGTAGACTGCACGTCTGGACATATCTGGACATATAAAATGCAATCATAAACTGTATATTGCCGGTAAAACTAAGATATCATTCTATTATGACTAGGAATTAGACTTAAAAGAAATAAAAGTACCATTCTGTGGTTGGAGAGTGTTGTTATATAAACTACAGCAGTGCTCGTGCATTAAATCATTAACCGGTGCTAAACTGCTCACTGCATCATGTAATTAACAACTCGAACCATAAATGTATGAATCAAACTCACTTAGACAGCCAACGGTTTCTTTTCAACGCATAATTTTTTATATCCATGTATGTGGTTACAGTAAAATCATATAAAACAGTGAAATCGCTCAGGCAATCTGTCCTTTCATGCCTGCACCCGAGACGGTGACGTGTGAGCGCCACTGACAGATTCTTCACTCCTATTGGTTGTCGCTCGCTAAATTCGATGTTCATTTGCATAAAGTTAAACAATTCTTAACTTTTGTCGCATCGCTTGACACACCCACATTCTGTCACGTGTCGCCGGAAGTCGCCATCTCTCCATTGAAAATGAATGGGAGCATGTCGCTTTATCGCTGTGTCACCGGCAGTGTGAACGGGGCTTGAACGTGCAAATTCACTCCCTGACATTAGATGGCGCTTAATGAAAAACAGAAATACACATAGAATCCTATTTGATCTGCAATTCCTCTTCATAACAACTCCCTCTTATCGATATTTTTGTAGTCGATCGCGCTCGCTTATCGCCGACGTTTTTCGACGCGTCTTTTGTGTTCATACCCAAGCGATTTTCGCAGGCGATGAGCCGAGTGAACGTGCAAATTCACTCCCTGACATTAGATGGCGCTTAATGAAAAACAGAAATACACATAGAATCCTATTTGATCTGCAATTCCTCTTCATAACAACTCCCTCTTATCGATATTTTTGTAGTCGCTGTCGCGTTTGTCATAAAGCCCTTTGTGTTCAGACACCAATGAGACCAGCAGCTCTACATTCATCTTGCCTCGATGCATCTTCTTGGTCTACTTACTTCCTCTTCGTCGTTAGGTATCAATGTGTGCTCAGCAAGACCGTTTTGTGCTTGAGCGCCACCAAGTCGTGTTTTACTGTAACTTCAGCAGCTCCAGGCACGTGAACAAAAGCGCCAATCTCATTGGTCGGCCAGTTTTTTACGTGGCGTGTCAAACCAAAGAAACGAGCCCGAAGCGGTTTTTAAAAAATAACGCTTTTACGCCTCGCGTTAAACGTCGGCAATAATGATATTCGTCCCGGTGTGAACAAGCCTTCATGCTATTTCATGACTTTCTTTTTTTCTGAGGAACACGAAATAAGATATATATTTTTTAAAATGTTGGAAACCAAACAGTTTTAGTTTAACTTCCATTGTATGGACAATCAGTCCTCAAAATATACCATATAGACAAAAGTAGTGGGGCATTACATCAAATTATAAATTGTATTTTAAATACATAGACATCAATATGGAGTTGGTTCCCCTTTTGCAGCTATAACAACTTTAACTCTTCTGGGAAGGCTTTCCATAAGATTTTGGAGCATTTCTGTTGGTAATGTTTGTCCATTCATCCAGCAGAGAATTTGTGAGGTCAGGCACTGATGTTGGACGAGAAGGCCTGGCTCACAATCTCCATTCCAGTGTTTGATGTGGTTGAGGTCGTGGCTCTGTGTGGGCCAGTCGAGTTCTTCCACACCAAACTCATCCACCCATGTGTTTATGGGCCTTGCTTTGTGCACTGGGGCACAGTGATGCTGGAATAGAAAAGGGCCTTCACCAAGCTGTTCCCACAATATTGGAAGCTCATCATTCTCCAAAATGTCTTGTTATGTTGAAGCATTAAGATTTCCCTTCAGTGGAAGTAAGAGGCCTATTGCAGCCCCTGAAAAACAGCCCCATACCATTATCCTTCATTCACCGAACTTTACATTTGGAACATTGCAGTCAGGCAGGTAACGTTCTCCTGGTATCTGCCCAACCCAAACTCACCCATCAGACTGCAAAACAGAGAAGTGTGCTTTGCAACTTCATAGAACAGGTTTTCACTGCTCCAGAGTCCAGTTGTAGCATGCTTTACACCACTCCATCCAATGCTTGACATTGTATTTGGTAATGTGAGGGAACGTACGTCGACGAGCCGGTACCTTTGGGATTCCATGAAGCTTCTGCTTCACAGTTTTTGAGCTGATACTAATGGCAGTGAAAGTTTAGAACTCTTCAGCTCTGGAATCAGCAGAGCGTTGGTGACTTTTCCATACCATGTGCCTCAGCACTCGGTGACCCAGCTCTGTGGCATTATGTAGTCATCCACTCTGTTGCTGAGTTGCTTCTGTTCCTAAATGCTTACATTTTCCAACATACAGTTATAGAGTTAACCATGGAAAATCTATATCTAGGGATGAAATTTCACTAACTGATTTATTACAAAGGTGGCATCCTATCACAGAAGTAAGAACATTTTTCCCCCCACAAATGTTTCTAAATGCAGACTGCATGGCTAGAAACTTGATTTTTTACAACTAGGGCTGTGGGTCTGACTGAGTACACCTGGATTCAGTAATGAAAAGGTGTATCCTACTACTGTTGACCATACAGTGTCTCTTCTTTTATGTTCCACAGAAGAAAGTCATATAGATTTGGAATGAAATAAAGGTGGGTAAATGATGGGAGAATTTTTTTGTAAATGCTGAAACTGAACTAAAGTCAAGGGGATTGCTGCTTGCAAACTATTTGACTTCCATATTTTTGGCATATTTCAGAGTGAAACAGGATATTAAACAGAAAAATTAGAGCAGGACCATCTTTCATGTGTGTTTCAGTTTTGTTATAGTTTCATGATTTTATGTCTTTATATTGTCATATCTTATGTTTTGAAGTTTCCTGTCACCCACGTTCCTGCTTCTTGTCTCGACTGTCTTCCGGTGTTTTTTGTTTAAAGATTAGTGTGCATGTAGCTTTATTTAATGTAACCTGAGAGTTTTTTATGGTACATCTCTTGTACCAGTTTAAGTCATTGTCATGTTTGATTTAAGTCCAATGTTTTGTTTTGGATTCTGCATCTTTTTCAGTCATCAAATACAGTAAATCTGCATTTTGGATCCCTACCTCAACTTGCATGAGTGGATAAACGTTGAATCAATAAAAGTGGGCATTGCATAACAAAACGATCAATTGCTAGTGTGCTTAAACAATGCCTGAATAGCTGAATGTCCATTGCTTAACAACAGCCAATAAGCTGCATGGCCATAGTGACATCAGCAGAAAGGGAATGTTGTCTCAGTGGCAGACCAAGTTATTAGTCTTGATCTGGATCTGGCCTTGAAAGGTCTAATCCTACTCTGGTTCTTGACTCAAACTCTGCAAATAACCCACTGTGAGTCCAACTGCTTTTAATTAACAGAACACAGTAGAAATGAACATTTCTGATATCATTTAGCGGTAACTTAAAAATCACTGTTTCCCACAATCGATCCTCTGCACCATTTGGAC